CACCCTGTCTTACACCTCTCTGCAGTTGGATAGGTTTCGAGCTCTGGTTCTGTACTCGGATAGCCATCGTAGCCCTACTGTACAAACACTTCAGCACTTCGATATACCGACAGTCAACTTGGCACCGCTGAAGGGACTGTAGCACCGCCCAAATTTCGACGGAATCAAAGGCTTTCTCATAGTCCACATACGCCAGGCAAAGTGGCAGATTGTACTCTTCAGTCTTCTGTACAATCTGCCGCAGGGTATGTATGTGGTCTATGGTACTGAAGCCTTTTCGGAAACCGGCTTGTTCGGGAGGCTGGAAGTCGTCAAGTCTGCGTGCGAGACGATTCGTAATGACTCTCGAAAACAACACGTAGACGCGGCTCAGAAGGGAAATCGGTCTGTAGTTCTTTAAGAGAGCGTTGTCGCCTTTCTTAAAGAACAAGACCACCGCACTTCTGCTCCACGCCTCTGGAGTAGTGCCACCATGGAGGACGGAATTGAAGAGCTTCTGAAGGACTTCAAGTACCGGTGTTCCACCCGCTTTCAGAAGCTCCGCTGTAATTCCATCCTCGCCTGGGGCCCTGCCGTTTTTAAGGTGCTGGAGAGCCATTCTAATCTCGCTTAGACTGACGTCCGGGATATCATCGGAATAGTGTCGGATAAGACTTGCTCTTGGATCGTTACTCACACTTGCGTGTGGCTCCAACGATGATGTGTACAGCTGCCCATAGAACCTCTCAATCTCACTCAAAATCTCAGGTGTCCCGGAAACGATGTTGCCACACTCAGTCTTCAGCCTTGACAGTTGGCTCTTTCTGGCAGACAGATCTCTGGCAAAGACTTTGGAGCCCTGGTTCCGCTCGATCGCTTCTTTAATACGAGAAGTATTAAAGTTGCGTAAGTCTCGCCGTATGCATTTGGAGATCTGTCTGTTCAGTTGCCTGTATGCTGTCAAATCTGTTGACGATTGCAGCCTCATCTCCCGTCTAACAGCCATGAGATTAAGAGTGTGATCGGAGAGTTTTTGTGTTCTTCTGCGGCGGGTCTTGCAGAACTTAGCTCCGACCGCATGGACAGTTTCCACGAGCTTGTCGTTCATATCGTCCACTGCATTGCAATCTTCTAGGCACTGGAAGCGGTTACGTAACTCGAGCTGAAAGGTTTCGGGATTCTGGATTAGAGCACGAGGGGGGACGGAGCGTTGACTTCATTAGACGAGACCTCTCCAACTTAACGTTTAGGTTCAGTGTGCCTCTAACCATTCGGTGATCGCTGCCAGTTTTCACCCTTGCGATCACTGAGACATCACTGAACAGTTGGCGTCTGGTCGTCATAATGAAGTCAATCTCATTTTTTGTCGAACCGTCGGGGCTCGACCAGGTCCACTTCCTGTGGGGCCGCTTCTGGAAGAAAGAGTTCATCATAAAGAGTCCCTCTTTCTCCATAAAGTCGGCCAGCTGCTGGCCCCTTCGGTTCCGTTGCCCTACTCCAAATTTCCCTACCTTCAGCTCACCGCTTTCTCTTGTGCCCAGTTTTGCGTTGAAGTCTCCCATCAACACCGTGTAGTAGGTTTTGGAGGAATGTATGGCTCTGGAAATATCCTCATACATTTCCTCCACCTCCTCATCGGGATGTGCCGAGGTTGGTGCGTAAACCTGAATGACCTTCAGCGAATACCGTTTGGTGATTCTGAGTATCAGGTACGCGACCCTCGTCGACACACTCCCAATCTTTACAACGTTGTTGGCGAGAGATTTGTGGACGATAAATCCGACACCTCCTTGGGACGGATGGTCGCCCTCCCGGTGATAGAACAAGTTGCCGGACTCAAGGATTGCCGTGTCCTCCCCCTCTCTTCGGACCTCGGATAATCCAATAATATGCCAGCGCAACTTGTCTACCTCTTCTTCCAGCTCCAGTATCTTCTCGTCAGTCCTCAGGGTGCGTGCGTTATATGTTGCCAGGTCGAGTCGTCGTAGGTGGCAACCGAACCTCCACCGGAGATTCTTAGCACCCCCTGCCCCGCCGTTACCATGGTCGCCACCGTAGCCAGGAATAGCGGGGCCGCCGGGGACTGGGGGCCGTCTGTTTGTGTATTTATTCATTGGGGGGGTATTTGCCATAGTTGCCACGCTTGGCGAGCGGGTTGGCAACCGCAGTTTTTTATTACGTCACAGTTGTCATCAGGAAGACGCTGCTGCCCATCTCCTGCCTGTCTCCCTCTGTCGCCTCTTACGACACCCACGGGAAGATATGGGGTAGTGGATATTCTTAACCGCCACTACACGGCAACGTTACTATACAAATTGTATAATTGTTTCGAAAAAAGTGAAGAATTTGTGTCATTAGGTATATTATCAGAAGAGACATGAATTTCTACGGTAGGCTGTGAAGCCGAAATATTTTTACTATGGCATCGTTTAATGTGTATATTTAATCTCTTTTTATCTTTAAACAGCCTACCGTCGGTACAATTTTGACACCGTAGGAAATCCGACTGTGAATGTATTGGAGCGATAATATTGATAGAAAATGTAAAAAATTAAAAATGTAAAAATATATCTACAGCACTCAAAAGTCTATAATTTAGTACAAATCAAAATCTTGAAAATTAAAAAGAAAAACCTAGTTCTCGAGCTTTGTTTATCGCCTTAAAGCAATCTAATATTAATATTGTATACGATGAATCACCAGGCGTTGCATCTTGAAGTGACCTACAACTATAACCGCTTGCAGTTGATGGTTTCAAAGCTTCTTTTGGTGACAATCTCAATAAAATGCTCAAGCATCCCAATATAAACGCGGCATTCGTTGTTTTCTTGGGATCAGTAGAAGTGTAGTGAGCATTGATTTTGTTATTTTGACGTTGTTCTATTTTCTCATTTAATATTTATTTAAAGTTCTCCCTGGCATTAATGTTACAAAATAAAATATATTATTGGTGTATTTGGCCATCGTTATTTCGTGTCATCACTTCAGGCAAACAAACTTGTAAATATATTATCACATATTCATTAATATTAAAATATATTATTGACATAAAACATTATTTTTCGGAATTTCAGGAATAAAATATAAATATATTTTAATTGAAATATTTGGTTAAAATATACGACAGTTGTCACCTCATTAAAATATTAGGTTAAGTTTACGTAATATTTTTGAATATTTTTTATTTCTATTAATAAAATAATCACCCATGCAATCGATGCATCTTTGCCAACAGTGTATTGATGCTTTTCTTGAAGAAATCAGCTGGACGGGACGCAACAAACTCTTCAAAGGAATTTTGTACTGTCTCTGGGGTTTTATTTTCTCGCCAAAAAGTTAGCCAAATTCTGGAAAATGTAGAAATCTGTAGGCGCAACGTTTGGTGAGTACGGCTGATGGAGAGCTTCCAACTCCAGCTCTTGTAACGTATATTTTGTAAGGTGTAAACCGTCCATTGTGCAGCATGAGATTACGCGTTGCTGTAAAGGAGCAGCGGGGACGAGCGATTGACTAAAGCTGGTTGGAGACGTGTAAGTTTCTTCATCATTGTGTTCAATATTTCACAGTACATATCTGCAGTAATGCTTATCCCGTTGGCTAAGAGGCTGTGATGAATCACACTGGCACTAGACCTCAAAACAATGATCCTCTCTTTTCTAAGGGTAAGTTTTCGTTTAGAGCATTGCAGGTGCTGAACCTGGATCGAACCAAATAAATGAGCGCTTGCAATTGTCTAAAATAATCCATTTTCGTCGTAGGTAATAATGCGGTTAAAAATTTCGTCATTTGTTCCTGTTGAGCAGTGCAAGGTACGTCTCGATGCGTACTTCGCACTGGCGTTCATTGAGTTCGTTGTGGGGCAGCAATTTGTTAAGCATTTTTATCCCGCTTATTTAACGCAAATAGACTAATATTGTTTTTATGCTAACTGCTGCTAATTTAGCCGTAGATTTCTTTTTTTTTTCCTTTAATTTGTCTTTGTCGACCAAAGCTTTCAAGCGACCACGGGTTAACTTTTCAGGTTGAGATTTCCAAAACGGAAGCAGGCAAACAGGTAGTGCGTTGTTTGTAGTATTCGCTCCGTAAACGTCGTTGATGTTGGGAGCGGCTTGTGGCACGTTGCTGCTACGACGGTAATCATATTCCATAATCACTCGAATTTTAAACGTACCCGTGATGACGAAGAATATTAAAATGTAATGAAAACATAAGCTAAATAAGTGACTATTTTGGAAAAAAGGTATCCATGTTTTAAAACAAAATTAATGTAAAATTAGAATTCTTATCCAAACAATAATTATTCTGGTTTGAAATTGCCAGTACTGCAGAAAAATATTTTTAATGAATTTATTTTGTTTATTAAACACTAGGAGTAATGTTATGTTCTTGTTGAAGATCGTAATTTTTGTGAAATTCGAGGAAGAGCGAAAACAATTATTAACCCTCGATTAGTCGCGCTTTTTTTGTAAAGTCGTTGGTCGCGTGGGGTCTTTGAAAGCCCATAAAAATTGGTTAAAAATACATAAATTTATATATTTACCTACATTATTTTATACTTTAGTCTTATTTGATTCAATATCAATAAAAAAAAACAAAAAACATTTAACTATTTATATATTTATTGCTTTAACTTACATACTAGAAATAGGAATTGAAAATTCTATCCACAAGATCACTAGGTAATTAAAATGAAAAAAAAAAAGTTAACAGAAATTAAAATCTATTATAAAAACTTAAGTAATCCAGATCATAATGAAATAGTCTATCTTTTATTATAAAATGTGGTACACTTAATCACAAAAACATCTAAACTTTGAAATATTGAAAAACTTTCAGTACGGACATATTGTTTTAGTATGTGTTGGACTAATATTGCCCTTACAAAAGTGACAAATGCATTTAAATTTCCTGTCTGCTCTTTGAGAATAGTAAATACATCGTTTTCTCATTGGCACGACGTTTACTTTAGGTTGAATATTCGGAAGTAGTGGTACAAATCTTCTTCAACTGTCTGTTTCAAATCACGCGGCAAAGTCGTAATATTTGTCCTCGACTGGTATATTCTCTACCTTTTTTAATATGTCAAAGTTACTGTACGAAATATTTATCATTGGTTCTTCATCCCCATCACTGAACGCAGATCCGAGGGCTTCCATAAATTCGTTCACCAATCCCAAACCCAAGTGCTCTTCGTTTGATATTTCCAAAGATTCATTACAATTCCAAAATACCTGACGCAAATCACATTCTTGTTCCGAGTCAGTGTCATGCTCTCTTACTTTATCAGGAAACGTTCCGGTTTCATTTTCATCATCATCACCACCGAGGATGTCATCGACATCTTCTTCTACCCAGCTCAATATGCGTCTTTGCTGCTGTTTGTCCATTTTTTTATAAAAAGATGATAAAAACAATCTTAAACAATGTAAACAAACACAATTTAATATAATAAAATTAAAGTTTGTTAATTATCAACGAAATCCATATTAATATTATAAATGCGAAAGTGTGTTTGTTTGTTTGTTTGTCCTTCTTTCACGTCACAACAGAGCATCGGTATGATTTTTTGTATGGGGATAGTTCCGTGGCTGTAGAGTGACATAGGTTACTGTTTCTACCACAGTTAAGTAATAGTTAAGGGTGAAAGTGTGACAGGTGGTGATAGTATTTCTGATCCGTACTTATAATCACGCCTGTAACCCTTGCGGGGTTGGCAGAGCATCAACGGATTACTTAATATCGTCTGCGAGGTTATCGCCTATTCTGTGAATTACAATGCACCAAAACGTTTGAAGAAAATCAGCTGGTGAATTTTATGTTTTTTATCGCTCTCTTCCCGGTCCTGCGTGGAAAAATACAGATCCATACATTTTTTATCTTAATTTTGGTAAAAAGGCATAATAATCCAGATATTCTGACCTTCCCACGGGAATGAGGCTGTAGAGTGACATAGGCTACTTTTTTCCGCGGAAAAACATCTCTTTCCCGTGGGGAAATAGAATATATTGCAAAAGTGTGTCCTTCTTTCACGTCGCAATAGAGCATCGGCATGGCATGAATTTTGTTATGGGGATAGTTCGGTGGCTGTAGAAAAACATCTCATTCGTTTCCGTGGGAATATTCTATCTCAATTCCGAAAAAAGTAGCCTATGTAACTCTACAGCCTCATTCCCGTGGGAAGGTCAGAATATCTGGATTATTATGTCTTTTTACCAAAATTAAGATAAAAATGTATGGATCTGTATTTTTCTACGCAGGACCGGGAAGAGAGCGATAAAAAACATAAAATTCACCAGCTGATTTTCTTCAAACGTTTTGGTGCATTGTAATTCACAGAATAGGCGATAACCTCGCAGAAGATATTAAGTAATCCCTTAATGATCTGCCTACTCCGCAAGGGTTACAGGCGTGATTATAAGTACGGATCAGAAATAATATCACCACCTGTCACACTTTCACGCTTAACTATTACTTAACTGTGGTAGAAACAGTTCTTAGTAAGCCTTATTAATAAGCCTTAGTAATATTTATTGAACGGAAATGAATACAGCTCTTATATATGGTTATGAATGAATGGGTATTAAAATAAGAAAAATTGTGCAAAATTATAAGAAAAATATTTTTGAGAGTTATTATTATTTAACGTATACATAGTTTACAATGATTCCGCTAGATGTCGTTACTAGGTTCTTAAAACGCGGTAACGAAATGTTTCCTGACATGTACTTAACTCCCGCCGTTGAGCCGTGCGTCAACTTATAGTGCATACGGTACCTATACGCTTAAATTGTTTCTATTTTGTAGCTTATTTATATTGACTACTGCTTTCGATTTCGGTTTTCCGCGATTCGTTTTGTGATTTAGTTTAAGTTGATTCGTTTTTTTTGGCTATCATTTTCGGATTCGTGTTGTGTCTTGAATCGTTTTGTTGTTTTAATATAAAAAATTAGATATTTTGGATTTGCTTTAAAAAATATTTACAAGGAAATCTAATTCCTTTTAGGTATTTTAACGTTTTTTTATAAATAGGTTATTTGTTACTTCATAATTCCTTGCAAACGTAAGTCCAGCCTTTCAGGAGTATCTTCTCAAAGACAAGCGAAAAGATTAGCTCGATCGCTAGAATCTTTAGAAGATGCTGAACTGAGAAGGCAAGAATAAGCAGAGCATCAGGCTGCTTTTAGAGCATCTGAGACACCTTCTCAACGTCAGCAAAGGTGTCTTGAACAGACAGAGAGTCAGGCTGCTATAAGAGCTTCCGAAACACCTTCTCAAAGTCAGGAAAGGCGTCTTCAAAAGGCAGAGCGTCAAGCTACTTTAAGAGCTTCTGAAATACCTTCTCAAAGTCAGCAAAGACGTCTTGAACAGGCAGAGCGTCAAGCTACTTTAAGAACTACTGAAACACCTGCTCAAAGTCAGCAAAGGCGTCTTGAGCAGGCAGAGCGTCAAGCTACTGAAACACCTGATCAAATTCAGCAAAGGCGTCTTGAACAGGCAGAATGTCCATCTACTTTAAGAGCTACTGAAACACCTGCTCAAAGTCAGCAAAGGTTATTCGAACAAGCGGAACGTGAGGCCGCCTTAAGAGCCGCGGAAACACCTGATGAAACTTAATACAGACTCATTGAGCAAGCTGAACGTCAATCTACTATAAAGGCATCTGAAACACCAGAACAGACACAGGCGCGAAGAGATGCAAATGCACAGCTCCAAGCTGAACGTCGACAAAATTTTCAAAGAAACAATTGGTAGGTTTTTAATGACGCAGCATTTAGTTATGATCCGTTGATTGATTATTAAAAGCACAGGTTAGTTGTTATCGGACTGAGCTTTGCAGCAGCAAGTATCAGATTTTTGTACCCCGCTTGCTTCCCGAACAGAAACGAGTTTTTGACAAAGTATTAAGACAAATTGAATCTGGCAATGGTGCACTTTTCTTTTTATGCCCCTGTAGAAACTGGGAAGACATTTTTTTTAAATTTATTATTAGCGCAAGTACGGAAAGATAAAAACATTGCCGTGGCCGTAGCTTCCTCCGGTATAGCCGCCACGCTGATAAGCGGGGCACACACCGCACATTCTGTTTTAAAACTCCCTCTAAATCTATCCCAGGAAGAATCGCCGATCTACCACTTTAGCAAAAATAGTGCAAGAGGTATAATGCTACGACGATGCAAACTTTTAGTGTGGGACGAAAGTACAATCTCGCATAAAAAAAGCTGTAGAAGCACTAAATCGAACGCTCTAGGATTTGCGCAGCAATATCGATGTAATGGGAGGAATGGTGGTTTTACTGGCTGGTGACTTTCGCCAAACTTTACCTGCCATTCAAAAGGGCACAGCTGCAGATGAAATTAAAGCATGCCTCAAGTCGTCTATTTTATAGAACAAGGTGACAAAATTCAGTTTAACTACGAATATGAGAGTGCATTTGTATAATGATATCAATGGTGGAAACTATGCTGACACACTATTAAAAATTGGCGATGGGCGGTTGGAAACGGATGCTGAGAGCTGCGTTAAATTGACGAGAGATTTTTGTAATTTAGTACAGAGTCATTCCGAATTAATTGCGAGCGTTTATTCAGATTTAACGAACAACATGCATGAAGACAAATGGTTATGTGAAAGGGCGGTTCTTGCACCTAAAATGAGCGCGTTAACAAAATAAATTCAGATATATTAAGCGAAGTAGCAGGAGAAATAACAGAGTATTTGTCAGTAGACACAGTTATGGACACAGAACAGAGCACTTCATATCCCGCAGAGTTTCTAAATTCACTAGAGTTGTCAGGTGTGCCGTCACAAAAGCTTTAATTAAAATTAGGCGTCCCAGTCACGCTAATGCGAAATTTAGATGCTTCTCGGTTATGTAACGGGACACGGCTGAGTGTGACACATCTTGGACGGAACATAATCGGTGCTACAATTTTGACAGGCGTAGGAAATGGTGAAAATGTTATTATACCACGGATCCCTATAATTCCCACAGATCTTCCTTTTCAATTCAAAAGGTTGCAGTTCCCTATTAAGCTCAGTTTTGCAATGACAATTAATAAAGCGCAAGGGCAAACGTTACAGGTAGCGGGGGTCAACTTAGAAAAAGCGTGCTTCTCTCATGGTCAGCTGTATATAGCATGTTCGCGTGTGTCAAATGCCCAGAATCTCCATATTCTTTCCTCGAATGGAAAAACATATAACATTGTGTACAGTAGCGTCTTAAAATAGTGTTCAGTTAGTTTTTTTCCCAAAATTGCCATAATCATTTAATCAGAATTCTCACAGATCTTCCCTTTCAATTCAAAATTTCCTATTTAGCTAAGTTTATTTTCAGTTCCAAATGCTGCATCTCTGACGGATTTTTTATTTGGCTCAGTTTCCTTTCAATTCAGAAAACTGTTTCTTTTCAAAAGTCTGCATCGCTGACGGATAATTATGCTCAGTTTCTTTTAATTAAAATTGTCCCATTTCCATTTGGAATAAACAGGCTATTGTCATGCTTTCCTATACGCTGCGTTTAAAAACATTTAAATAGGCTGACGAATCAATTTTGCTCAGAGGCTGCATCTCTGACAAATCTATAAAACTCAGTTTTCTTTCAATTCAAAAAGCAATGGATAGTTTATTTCCCAGTGACCATGCGGGCGAAGCCACGGGTAACAGCTAGTTATAATTTAAAAAAACAAAAAAGGAGTTGTATTACGAAAATTGCATAATAATAGGTTATAAAAAATTTACTTACGCGGTTCGTCGCGTGGGGTCTTTCAGAGCCCGCGCGCACACAAATCGTTACCGTCCGTACCACATAGCGCTTGCACGCGAACTGAAGTTAGCCGTGATGCTTGCCAATTATAATTTAATTCAGGAAGGTAACTAAGGAGCAGAGTCACTACGAATATTTTAAATATAGGTTTTTATTGATTTTGTAATACCTAGGCTTTGAAAGGCCCCACGCGACGACCCGAGGGTTAACAGTAAATACATTTGATATATAGTTTACACATATAAAATAATTTACATAATAGCAACTCTTTCTCGTCTCACACAGACGAACACACGGTTGGTTGACAGTACCAACCTTTAAAAATGGGTTGGTATCTTCTGACAGCTAACTTTACTACTGTGCGTACTCATAAGTTAAATTAAATAGCGCGCGCTTCCTCGGCTTCCCCGCGCGCATTCATTGGTTTCATCAAATAGCGTGTGCTTTCCAGGTTTCCTGTTACACACTGCCGTCACTTTTCATGAAATGACTCCCACAGACTGCAGGAAAGCGAGAGGAAAGATGTTACACATCAAAAATATTTAAGGTTTAAACTAAAATCTGTTTCACAAAAGAAAGACATATACGAATAAAAACATATCTAATGTATGGAAAATTGACCGC